AAATGGAATCATCTAGGAGGGACTCTTTATAAACAAACAACATGAGGTATGCCTCCATCCATCATCTGTGAACAAAAGAACAAACTGAAGACTCCAACAAAACTATACTCAACTTACTTAGAAAAAAGGTTGGAGCAAAGAGAAATTGGGCTAACCTCCTCCCTTTTGTCCTCTGAGCAATCAAAATGACACCATTAACAATGGACGGTCAAATTGCATCTATGCCATCACATTGAGTTGAAGTTGTGCTATAAAATATAATTTGCACAATTAGAGGATAGTCGTCGTGTTAATATTTGGTGATGAAAACTTGGGATAATAGTTGGAAGCCAATAAGGAAGAATTGGGGCTAGCACTCGATGTGATCAAAGAACAACGCACACAATCAACCCTTAGGTGGGAAGAAAACAAATAATGTACTACTCGATATTATAACAGAAGATTGATTCAGCCACGCAGGGCCAACCCTTAGGGAAACTTGATCAACCATGGATCAAACCATTCATTATTAGTAAAAAATTGCGCAATGAGCTTACAAACTATGAACACACATGGGAAAGGAAATACCTCACATGTACTTGGAGTGGGGATGGCTTAAATTATTTTATCCTTGAAAAAGATTTGTAATTATGATTTTATTTTCAAAAAGACTTTATATATATCATTTAGCATATATATAATATTTTTCTACTAAAATATCCCTTGAATATCTCACATAAGTCTATTTGGACAAAGGAAAGATGAGAAACTCTGGGAACTTACATAATCACCCCAAGAAAGTTTGGTCAAATGCCATCAACATAATCATTAAATGAAAATAGAAAAGAAAATACATAACAATCAAAATGACCAATATGGGTGTGAATAATAATTCATCTGCTTTTACAAAATAAGAGCATTCATCTAACACACTAATTTGCCTTATATGTTAAAAAGGTAAGATAGAAGAAACTCTCTGGGAACTCAATCTGCGAATCAAGTTAGATGTTTATGCCAGGAATAAATCGTCTATTGTATCTTTATTTTTTGTTCTCATTAATTAGTTGAGCAAATTATGATGCTTATCAAACTTATTCATTCACTTGATAAGGCTTCAACACTGCAAGACCTCTCTGTCATGAGTCCTCAGAATACAGTTCAAGCCCTAGCAACTAGATTCACCCCTCTTTGTAATGAAAAATTTTGCATTATGTAGCAAGTGAATCACCCTTATGACAAGTCTAGACAATTATCACCGTAAAGATAACGACTAGATCTGCATGTCTGGCATAATGCATGGCTTGTCCAAAGTATCAAAACTAACCTAGAAAGGCCAAAGTGAGAGACATGGGATGGGAAAGACTTGGGCAAGATCTCCTGCATTCCTTCAAATTAGCATTGCACAATATAATTTACTGACCTAGAGTCACATCGGATATTGTTCAATCAAAATAAAAAAAAAGTAACTTAACATTAGAAAAGGAATAAGGTCAGGCCCAAAATATTTCATTTCATTAGCAATATTTTGTTACATGTTCTTTTTGACAAAAGAAAGAAAAGTACAAAATGATCATACATTAGTCAACCAGTTGCAGCTAATTTTGGTATATTCTTCCATGCAGAGGAGATTGGGTTTCCCTTTGTCATATTGATGAGACCGTATTGGATCCCTGCACGGAACATCTTATTGTATTTGAGAATAAGCTCTTCGTCCATCTTCATATGATCCACAACCCCCATTTCTTCTGAGACAACCTCAAGAAGCTTTTGGCTACTGATGTAGAAGTGATGATATGATCCACTTTACAAGTATATCAAACAGATGATGCGTTGCTAGAATTCCAATCTTTGGCAAGATCACACGAGGATAGAAATCCTTGATCATGGAGGACATCCAGTGATGCCATATCTAAGACCACGATCCCAATTCAACCAGACCCTCCATCACCAGCATGCTCTGCATCTCCTGAAACATCTATAGTGTGAGGATAAAATGTTTTTTTTTCTGATGAGTAGGCTGCTTAATAAGGATTAGCTCTTCCGTCCCCTTCTTCTAAAAAGAGATATTTGAATAGGAGATTGAAAAGGTGACTTCAACTCCTGGCTAGGCTGCTCTTTCGCTTTCTTAGTGGCCAAAATCTCATCTTTCTTTTCATATTTTAAGCCAACGTCCTGTCAATCTTTGAAGCCTCCAGATATTCATGAGTATTTAAAATTGGTTTAGCGATATTATTAGCCTTCAGCTGCACCTCGGGAGAAACATTCACCTCAACCTTCAGAAAGGGGATGACATTCAAAGTTATTGAGATCGGCCAACTACGCTCTGAGATAAAAAAATTGGAATTCAGCTTCCAATCTGTTGCTTTATTTTTAAGATGGTGAACATGAAAGTAACCCGCAGATAAAAATTGAATGTATCGGCCCAGGTACAATCAAAAGAAGAATAAATATTTAAAAGTTCAATCAACCAAACAATCCCCCTTTAATGGGCAAAGATGATGAACACCATCATGATAGAGGTTGAATTCAACATCACTTGAGCGGAGGCTACCACATAATAGCTAAAAATGTCACATAGTTGCTTGAACAGTGAGAATTCGAGGTAAAGTTGAAACTGATCACGATAAATCGTTGGCTTGTTCTTCTTCATGATATTTTCCCTCTCTTTTGGATCAGTGACCCTAAGGCAGATGGGGGTTCATTAATATGGATCAACTGATATGCCAACACCTTAGCTTGAAACATTCAAAATGAAACATATAACTAAGTCTTTGCGAAATCAAGTGAATGATGAAGACTGGGAACACGAGGAGTTACTTCCTTATGACGAGGAGCCATTTCTCAAGAAAAAAGGGGAGCTAACTTGAGAGAATAGTTAAGAGCGGAAATAAGGTATCTCCTTAACCATTACAACCCATTTTATACGGTCAGAATGAATCTCAACAATTGCAAGGATGGATCGAAAGTGGCCACCTAGAAATATTCAAATAAAAAGACTAATATGATACTGAGAAAACATCATTTCTCTTAAAAATGTTTCTTACGAGATAAATAATTATAGACCTTTGACTCGCTGTGGAGAAAAAAAAAGGTTAATACATGTGTCCGAAACTCCCTCAGTTGAGACATGCTCAGTTGAACCAACATCCAAAACAAGAACTCTCCACCATACCTGAATTGACTTAACATATCAAACTCAACCTAGGCTCGAAGGGTCCGTGTTGAGTGCCGCAAACTCGTAAGCTCTTGTTGGATAATGAACAACATCTACTTTATCACTGGAATCTCCTTTTCAAGATATGTCATATAGGTTGATATCGCACGCGTCTCTGAACTTCTCTGGAAGCCAGCATCACGAGCAAACAAATTCTCAATCCTGCAAAGCAACGAGCCATTTCCACATTATTCACCTAGGTCGCTCGTACTTGTCCCTCTCGGATCTCAGTAGAAAATGAGATATCTCTAGGGTAATTGACTTCACCACCTTCTTTGGTGTGCTAACTACCTTCCTCAACCGCTCGACCTATTCGCCCCCCCCACCCCCAACATAGCTAAAGGCCCATTGAAATTTGATAGGGTCTCTTCATCTGTCATACCTAAGTCAATGAATGAATCATTTAAATGCATCAAAACCCATTTCAACTAAGAATGAAAACATACCCATAACTCAAAGCATATCAGACACCATCGACTCACAGGGATGAAGGCATTACAATGGGAACGGGTTAACAAGTGTCATTGATGCCCAATCCACAACCAAACTAGGGGCAACCTTGGGAGGTGCATACGATGCTCTATCTGGTGACTGCACGATCACAACATCCCACCAGTACCTGCGACAACTTTAGAAGCGCTCCTCGGGGGCTCTTTAGAAGAACCAACCCGAATTGAAGAAGAGCCCTTCCTTTTCTTCCCACAAGTTTCCTCTTTCTGCTCCCTCATGGTGTCTCTTGCTTTTCTCCTCAGCAAACAACCCATATGACAAAATTTTGCTTTGAATAGCAGATCAAAATTTCAGAGACTAATCCATCACCAAGACACATCTTTCTAAAAAAAGTCATTAATATGTAAAGGAGAGGGAAAATGTAAAAACAACATGGAGCAGACAAATTTTGAAATACTATCCTCTGTTTATAAGCAAGAATTTCAATGAAATATTCATCTATAAAGTTATTTGATAATAAAAGGTTTTTCTTTTAACTTAATTCTCATGTCTTTTATTATATACTGCCTCCCTTTAATACACGAGAGTCACAAAAGTAAAAATATGTATGGTCAAAGTACACTAAATCGGATCCCACGGCTCTAGACGGGACACAAGTCGAGGAATCAATCCTAGAGAGTGCAAAGAGCTACAGTCAACACGAGGCAGATGATCCAACTGAGCGAACGAAGAAAGTCGACCTAATAAGTTGACAAATGTCTTGCGGGCCTAAGAACAAGCAAAATTGTGATTTGACGATCAAAGATTTGACCACAATAAAGACAATCTCGATGGCTGCTCGGACCACCAACAATAAAGAAATTCAAAAGCGTTGTCAACATTCACAATATAACTTCTATTTATTATAAATATTAAAACAATAACATGTAAAAATGACTTTTTTTAAATTATTCGTGCGAATATTGCTAATATTATACTCATGAGACTTTTTTCTCTTGTTATCTCCTTACTTTCTCTTTATATCTTGGGTGTGATTTACAGCCGAATCTGAGTTCAATAGTACTAGAATAAAACCATTGGCTGCTTTTTTAGTGTACCAACCTTTTAAGTAGTTATTTTTGTTAGGAGAACTCAATAAGGTTATTCATCCAACTTGAAGTTTTGTTATAAATTTTCATCTAGTTGGTAGCTGCCCTTATGACAAATTTTCTACCCCACCAAGAAAATAATCTCATAACAAATTCTTAATCATTTGTATATACTGTTCTTTGGATTTTCCCACTATATATATATATATATATATATATATATCACCTTTATATATATTTATATTTTTAATGGGTTTATAAAACCATCTGAATATAAAACGAATCCACACAGCGTAATCTGTCCGGGTTATTTTCCAGATCAAATGCTGTTGCCCCTCTAGGGTTTCTCTACTTCTGCTATCCACCATGTCCAGTCGGAATCGCCTGGCTCCTCACGGCATGAAAGGCCCTCCTCCGGGCCGCCATTCATCTCCTCCTCCCTTTGGCAGTGGTCTCGTCCCCATCCCTCGACCCCACCATCGTCACCCTGCTCTCCTCGACGAGATGCGCGACGTCCTGCCGCCCTTCGCCGGGGGTCTTCGCGGGCCGCAGTCTCTCCCTTCATTGTTGATTGATGAGCGTTTCGCCGCGCAGAATCAGGAGATCCAGGGCTTGCTTGTTGACAACCAGCGATTGGCGGCCACCCATGTCGCGCTAAAGCAGGAGCTAGCTGCTGTACTTCACGAGCTCCAGCGGGCATCACATGCCAGTGGGGTTCTGCAGGCTGAGAGGGAGGCCGAGTTTCGGGGGGTATCACACTTCACTTTTCTTTTCCCTCTTTATAAGTGTTTGGTTCTCTTATATCTGCTGTTTGCTTTCTAATGTTGTCGTGCTTGTGTTATTAATGACTATACATTGTTTGATTTGTCCGTAATTTTAAATAACGAACGTATAAATGTTGTCGGACTGTTTTTCTATCATTTAATTTGGGCAGAATTTATATGTCATCATACCCGAATGCCCATGGGTCTGTTATGTTTTGTTGTATTTTATTAGGTGGACATAAGCCAAGTGATAAGCTTGAGAGTGGACTGCTTGGTTGCCTATTTAGATAAGCTAAGTGAGGATAGGCCTTACCCTAGCTAAATAGGGTAGGTTTAAGGAACCTTTTTCCAAAGTTGAGCATACTTTAAAATTTTCCTCTGGCACTCGAGTGAACACATGAGCCCAGTCTCTAAAAGCTTTGAAGTTTGCAGAGGTTAGCCAAAAATTAAGTTTTCTAGAGATCATATTTGATTTATTCTTGCTACAAAGAATCCTTTATGCAGGCATTGAAAGCGAAAAGAAAAGAAAAAACTTTATTTCTTGATAATTTTATTGTTTTCCTAAATAGGATATTTGAGTAAAAAAATATACATTCTCACAATTTCTATCCATATTTTAATCAATGTTTAAATAAGAAGTCGGTTTATTAAATTGAGAATTGTTATAAGTTCCCCACTCGATATGTATAACTCACCCCCACTTGAAGCACATCTTTATAGCAAGTTTTTCTTTATATTTTACATTCGTGGAATCAGTGAACAATGCGAGCAGTCCAATTGGCCAAAAGAAAAGTTGATATAAAAAAAACATTTATTTGATGGAGACAATATTTTTTTCACTTATTTTAGTAGATTAAACTAGTAGATAAAAAATATGCTATATAATATGCTTAATTTTTATGAACCACTATTGAACTTTATTTAATAACGGATAATTAAGGTTAATTAGCTCCATTTTGTAAGTAATTATGGTGATAATTTGATGGCAAACTAACTCTCATCTCATCTAATGTTATCATTTATTAACTTCAGTTAAAAAAAAGAATATTTGAGCTTGGGATGTTGATAACAATAATGTGGTTGCAGCATTTGCAACAACAAATGATGATGATGATGATTGTGGCATTGACAAGGGCTACATTAATATGAATGAAGGACAACAATTGGAATGCCATTTGAAGTTTATATCATCATTGAAAATCTATTATGCACCGACCGAGACATGTATATTCAAGCACAATATAAGATACCGAACAAGTCGATTATTAATAATTTTTGACATAGCGTATATTAGAAATTTTAAAGCATGATATTTAGCTGCAAAAAATTAAATAATCAATAGTGCATACAATCCAATTCATGTTATAGTAGATTTTTCTCTTTTACAATTGAGGCAAAAAAACAAACATTATGAAAAGTTGACCTCTAAGTAGTTGTTTGGTCGTAAGTGTTACGAGTCAAAAGTAAAAAAAAATGTATGGGTGTATCGTATTGTTGTTTGGTTTGAGGTAAACCAATATCAAAGTATTTGTTTAGATGATTTAGCATGCCCCATAATACCTATTTTTTATGAATTTAGATTTACCAAAAAATTCCAAATGTAGGAAATACTCATAGTGTATGTTCTCACCTTCCCTTTTGGCGGTTGCCGCCATTAATTGTCATTATCCTCCATTGTCCATGGCTGACCTTTGTCGTTCGTCGCCACTTGCAATCACTCAATTTTGGTTGCCTTGTATTGTCGTTCTCCATTGTACCTCCTGCTATTACCTACCGTATTCTAATTCATTTGAAATATATCATAAAAAACACCAAAATATTTGAATGAGTATGAATTGTGTTTGATCAAATAACTCATGTGTTTGTAAACTACATGCATTTATAAAAATCAAACCAAACAAATCTTAAGTAAATAAATTTTTTAAGGCTTATTTCATTTGTGTATATCAAAATTAAGTTTTATTATTTTTCAATTATATATAAACTCTCCCTTCTCCTAATAGCTATTTCACGTAACCTATGATACACATCTTTTCTCTTATTTATTTATTAGTACATGTCGTTGGTGCATCAACATATTATATACTTACATCTTGTAAAGCGTTGATGCATTATAATCAATAATAATGTTATGGGTATAAATGATGTCGAACTTGGGGTGAAAGAAGGTGATGCATATGAGGAATGAAGGAGATTGATGACCACAATAACAAAAAAATTTATCCCACTATGGTTGCTTTTGGGGCAGCTTAAATGGAGCGACGTGGTGGGAAAATGCCATGTTTGATGTTTGTTTCATGCGGCACGACATTTTATTTGGAAAATTTTGTTAAAATGCGGTCGCAGGCTTGGCCTTGTGGCCCGTGTTTTATCACAAACCTTTTACTTGTGTTGCCCATCCTAGCATTCGTGTTTCTCCCTAGCGGTTCGTTCTCCCTGCTCTGCTCCCCTTTCTTCTCTCTCACATTTCTGCCCTAGCAGTTCCTTCTCTCCCATCGTGAGAGAACTGCCAAGAATCACTGTTTTCCCTTTTCTATCCTCCGCCCCTTTGTTTGTGGTTTTCTTTTGTGGCTTGATATTTGAGATTTGTGGCTTTGCTCTATGGAGAAATGGTTTCTATTAATGTTCCATTGCAATCATGTTTTTTGAGAAATTTGTGGTTTTTCGTTGTCGTGTGTGACTTGGTTTTTTGCAGTTTAGTACTTTGCTCTGGCGAAATTACGAATCTAGGGAGGGGAAAACACCATATTGCATATTAATTTTATTTTGAAATTTGAAATTTATCAGGTATTTGCAACTTTGGCTCTTTGCTCTTTGCGGCTTTTAGTTCACTATAGTTTCTGACTTGTTTTTTGCAGTTTGTGGTGCTTTATGGAGAAAATGAATATAAGGAGGGGAAAACACCATATTGCATATCCTTTTTCTGTGAAATTTGAAATTTTTTAGATATATGTGATTTTGGCCCTTTTCTCTTTGCGGTTTTTGTTTAATATATGAAGTACATTTCTTTTTAGGCCTGGCGGTTTTTGGTTCATCTTGGGCTGGTGACCACAGGGTTAGATGAGGGATGGTGACATGTAGGGATATGTGGAATTCATATAACAAGTGTATTTCTTTTTTTCTGTGACATATGAAGGTTTTATGAATGGGTGGTTGCTATTGGTGGTTTGTAGTCATTGTGTGGGTTGCTATTATTATTTTGCGGCCACTGTTTGGTGGGTTGATATTGTTGCTTTGTGGCCACTGTGTATGATGGGTTGCTATTGTTGGTTTAGTGTCTCTGTGTTTAGCCAATGAATTATATTGGTTCGTAGCTCGATTTTCTTTATTCGGTAGTGTGTTGGTTTTGATGGCGATGGTTGTGATGATGTGGTGGTGGTTGTGTTGGTGTTGATGATAAATTTGTGGTGGTTGTGGTGGTGGTATTTGTGTGATGGCAGTGGTGGTGGTGTTGTTTGTGTGTTGGTAGTATTTGTGGCGATAGTGGTGGTGTGGTCTTGGTGGTGTGTAGGACTAGTGGTGGTGGGGAGAGTTTCTTTGGAGTGGAGTTTATCTCGTGAAATTAATCATCTGAATTTTAAATTCAACATTATGATAGTATTAATTGTTATTGTAATAATTTTATTTTTAATTTTGATTGGTTTAATGATTCTTGGTTTTATTATGCAATATTAAAATTGGATATCTGTTTCCATTTATAAAATGTGCAACAAGGACTGATTCTGTTATAAACAGTTTAATAGTACACGAGCAAAAATGTATTTTTGTCATAAGAAACTGCATCACAATTGTTGCATAACTGCACATAACAAACAGAGACACAGCTTCCCTGATACAGTTTCTGCGCAGTAGCTTCCTGACACAGTTGCTGCGCAATAGCTTTTTAATAAGCTGTGGCTGCCCCAAACAGATTCTAAGTGGGGTCAGCTACATGAATCTTTTTTCTCCATTGTGTCCTGGAGTGTCTTATTCTCGTTTAATTCTAATAAATTAAGATCATTTTTTGTACAATAAGCCCAAATCTTTTTAGGTTTACCTCCATTTTTCTTAACATAAGCCGAATCTAAAAGAAATACTCTCCTAACTGGATCATCAGATGTTTGATTTTTAATTGACCAAACTATTTAAGATGACCTTTGTTTTGCATTTTGTCTCTTAAATGTCAAGCCACTCATCCACCTAAGCATTCTCATCTCAACTACACTTAACTTAGTTTTATGCTTCTCTTTTAAATGCCAACATTCTACGTAGTAAAGCAAGCATTGCAGGTTTCACCGTAATTTTCCTTTTAAGTCTAAATAGGCTCAATGCATTCCTCCACTTTTCCTCCACTTCAACCAACCAATCTTCAACCAACCAATTTGAATTTTACTTATAACATCCCCATCTATATCACCATCACGTTGAACAATAGACCTGAGATATCTAAGCGTTCACATTTTTTAATAATTAGATCACCCATAATTACAACTCTGTCACCAGATCTACTACTACTAAAATTACATTTGATGTATTCAGTTTTAGATTTACTTAAATGAAAGCCTTTAGACTTCAAAGTAGACCTCTATAGCTCAAGTTTTTCTTGCTTTCCCTAGTCTTATCCATAAGAAGGATATCATCAGTGAAAAGCATACACCAAGGTACATTCTCCTCGAAAAACAAACAAAGAGATTGATGATGATGAATGAAAAATGGGGAACTGATCGTGATTAGCTTGAGAAAGAAGGATGAAGATGGTAATCATTTGGAGTATTAAAAAGTGGGAAGCATGTGTGATGTTGTTTTATGCAAGCGAATCGATAGTGTTTTATTGACACACTATATACACTTAGATATTGTAAAGGGTTCATGCATTATATTCGATAATAATAACATGGGTATATATGATGATAAACGTTGGGTGAAAGAAGACGATGCATATGAGGAATGAAGGAGATTGATGACAATGAATGAGAAATGAGAAATTGATTGTGATTAGCATAAGTA